ACAAAGGTTTACGGTAAATTAACCCATTTTTGGTAACACTTTATTCTAAGGTTCTTATAATAATCAGTAATTAACAGTTAATTTGACATTAATGCCTTATACGAAATACGAATACGTTAAAGGACAATGAACTAATTTATTATTGCTTGTAAGACACTTACAGGGTCTTATTAAAAACTTGTTGATGGTTTATAAACTTGAATACGATGTTTATTAACATTAATTAGACTTTATAAGGGTTGATTATAGAGAAATTAAAACATTATTATTATTGTTGTACGACACTTGTAGGAATGTATTTTTCTTTTAAAATTTATGTTTATAGACAGCATATAAAATGTTTATTAAAATGATTGAGATTATATTTTAATATATGAATTAAAACATTTATTAGTTATTACTTATAATATTATTAATATGAGCACTTACTAGAAACTTGTCAAGAATAAATGTTTAATGAATGTTTATACTAAAGCCTTATAAAGGCTAATAAATCCTTTATTATGCACTTATTAACCATTAACAAGCATTACCAGTGCACCTATGCAGCTACCTGAACTAAAGTGGGAACGGTGTCTTATTTAAATTAATAAATCATTTATTATGCACTTATTAACCATTAACAAGCATAACCAGTGCACCTATGCAGCTACCTGAACTAAAGTGGGAACGGTGTCTTATTTAAATTAATAAATCATTTGTTATGCACTTATTAACCATTAACAAGCATTACCAGTGCACCTATGCAGCTACCTGAACTAAAGTGGGAACGGTGTCTTATTTAAATTAATAAATCATTTATTATGCACTTATTAACCATTACAAGCATTACCAGTGCACCTATGCAGCTACCTGAACTAAAGTGGGAACGGTGTCTTGACCTGGCTCAAAGGCCATAACAAAAAGTGGGAAAGACACACTGCCTGTCGTTCACGGTGTTTATTGTAACATAAAATAAATGCAAATAACACTTTCACATAACACATTTCATTTAATGAAACCAAAAGGTGTAGCTGCCGGCAGGGAAGATCAGAGAGAGAGAGCCAAGAATCTTGGAGGTGGAGCTTTTATCTCCTGTGGACTGGAGCTAGGTTGTCCAGACACATCACCACTGCAGTACTGATACACATACAGATTCAAGCCACACGGGGGCATCACAACAGTGTCTTATTTAAAATAATAAATCTCTTATGATGCAGCTACTGCAGCTTAAGTGGGAGCATTGTTAATGGTTAATAAGTGCGGCAGGAGGCAGAGCGGGTTGCCCGTTAATCGGAAGATCGTAGCACTATACAAATACAGAGTATTTAAATTCAGTAAAGGTTTATTAGCCTTTATAAGGCAGTAATATTCTTACAGTCTGATTACTGTCACTAAACATCCTATTAACTTTGATAAGTGGTCTATAAACTGTTGACAAGTTTCTAATAAGTGCTCATAAATATCTTATAAGCAATAATTAATGTGTTTTAGGACATTACTAACACTCATTAAGTCTCATTAATGTTAATAAACATCGTATCAAGGTCCATAACTTGTTAACACTTCTCTAATAAGAGCCTATATAATTAAGTGCCTTAAAAGCAATAATAAATGTGTTAATTGTGCTTGAATTAACACTTAAATGAATTATTTATGTTTATAAGCATCTTGTAGTCTTATAATTGTTTTATTAACTTAGCACCTTAAATTAATTAATTGTTAACCTGTTTTAATTTTCTATTTTACTTTATTTTAATTGTTATTTATTTGTGTTTAAAATGTTATGCTATGTTACTTCAGGTTTTAAGTAAAACACTTTAAATTGCCTTGTTCACGTGTGTTATACAAATAAACTGGCCTTTTAAATGTAGCATGGCACGATTTCCCATAATGATTATCTATATTTGTTGAGTGAGAGAAAATAAAAACTCACAACATCTCAACAGCTGGTTGCTGGTTGGGAGCAAGGGCCCTGCAGTCGATCGAAATCTAAAAGAAAGTCTCTCAACTACAAGTTTTCAACTTGTAAAAGTTTTTGACTTGTACCTGGCTGCAGGCTGGCTGTGGTCAGATGCTCACATTTAGGGACCGTATTTTGAGACAGTGCGAGTACTTTTTACAGCTACTTGCACATGAGCGGCCTGCAAATTTACATGTCGAAAACATGGTTAAAAAATGAGGTGGGAGCAAGTCTGCACCGGGGGATTACCCGGCGGCCTAAGGGCCGTTTGGCCTGCTGTTAATTTTCAACTTGACCAGCGGCAGCACTAATACAGCAGGCCTTTTTATATACAGCAAGCAGGAGAATCAACGCATCCACCGTGTCAGCAGCTCTCCCTCTGATTCTGTCGGTGTGAAGAATATTTTCAGTTAGGGGCCAAGTGCTCCTTGTAAAAACAGTTAGTCTGGAGCCCTGAGGGGGAAATTAGATAGAGAGACTTGGGCTGTAATCAGAACCACCTAATGCTACCGGGCGACTGCAGTATGTATTTTATACTGCGTACTACATTTAGGACAAAACAGTAGGACTGCTAGTATAATCGCGGTCTGCTATACAGACAAAAACTGTTTTTTATACCAAACTCTAAACATGTTTATCAGTCCCTCCAGGATTTTGTTGGCCTTTTTTGTGATTGTTGCGTCCTAAAACACCTGATTTTGTGGCGGCTTTTCTAAAAAATTGCGATGAATGTTTCATTGTTTTGGGCCGTTTTTTCAGATTAATTTGAGGGAATAATTGAAAACTTTAGATTTATAGTTGAATCATTAAATCAGTCCCTCCGGGAATTCGAGGGCAGTGATCAGTTAACCTTTAGAAAATTGATTGCTGACATTTGTGACTTGATTTACAATCGTCCAAGTCCACATGGTTATGCATCTCCCACCACCGCCACCGCCACCCTTTGTCATGATGCAGAGTCGAAGAGATGGATGTGTCACCGGGGTGACGTGTGTGCGTGTGAGAGAGAGATTTGGAGCTGCGTATGGTCATGCCCCCCTCGTTAGTGGTGAATGGCTACCGGTGCGGGAAGTCTGGGGGTAGGTGTTCCTTTATAAGGAGACGGGAGAAACCCAGCAGAGGGGCAGAACGCGGGAGCAAGCAAGTATTGAGCCGAGGGACCAAGAACGGCAGCAGCATCAAAGGAGGCAAGCCAGAGCGACGCGGTGGTCACCACAGACGACGTAAGGCGGAGAGTCGACCGAGACGAGACAGGGACCGAGGTGGACTTCGGAAGAGAGTCAACCGCACTGCAGAGTAACCCTTTAGGTAGACTCAGTGCCCCGGAGCCAAGACTAGACGCCTCAGAGTAGCTGGAGCAAGAAGCGGCCTTTATGGAAGTGCGTGGGGGAGGACGCCATCGGAGACACGAGGAGGGGTCAGAATTCGTTCCCCCCTCCTTCCCTGTAAGTAGCTCTCCCACGCCTCTTTGTTTGCGACTATCTACCGTCCCCAGTGAATAACCTGCCACTTTAGTTGTGTTTTTTAACTTGTAGTACTTGGAGGAGCAAGCCAGTACGCTCCTGATTCCGGTCCTAATTTTAAAGTCCATTTATATATATATATCATGGTGTCACGCCACGAACATCAATAGTTTTGCTTGGGTGTGGGGTTTGGGGTTTTGATTTGTTTGCACCTGTGATTTAGTTGTTTATTTGCATGAACATTTTTGTTTAAAGTTTTTTTTTTTTTTTTTATATATAACTGAATTAACCCTAGCGGAACTATTGTGGGGAACTTTGTGACAGCCAAGCATCCTCCCAGATAGCAAGACTGCATTGAATAAATATTGATTTTCCATCTGAATCATCAGAATGGTTGAGATTGAAATCTCAACCCTAAATAAATGTTGAATCAATATTGCAGTACTGATGAAAAACGACCATGTATGAGCCGGACATTGGAATAATATTGATTTATAGTTGCCCCGATTATACTTGATTAAGCATTGATTTGTAGTTGACTGGGTAACAACAACAACAGCAATGTTGAAAAATCATCTATTTATGGTTGACCGAGAAATAATGTATGATTGAAAAGTCAATGCAGCATTATTGACCAGGAGACCATCGCTTGGTGGATCAATGTTCCTGAACCCCTCACATCTCACAAGTCCACATCAAGTAAGCACATATTTATTTATCTAACGTTTAATTGTACCAAATTTGTAGACATTTATTGTTTATTGACATTGTCTAACATTATATGCAGTCATAGACTATATACAAGTGTTTCAATACCATTTTATACTGACAAATAGCACAATATCCAAGCTCCATCGTATTAGGATAAGTTACTTCGCTAGTATAAATGCTAACTTTATCACCAGAGGATAATATCCTGTACAGGACTGTAAATTATGTTAAACTGTATTTTATCTTTGCTCAGATTTCGACTGCTTTGCGAAATATATGCTCATGCTCGTAACTGATCCTAGCTAATGCCCCTGTCATTTAACTTTAAATAAGCCAGCTAACTTGATACATCTGTCAGTCTTCTACAACTTTCATCCTCCAGATTGAAGCCAGCCAGGCAGTCTACATCTACAATAAACTACCAAATTGGTTACATTAGTGAATTCAAGGAGAGAGAGAGAGACCGAGAGACCGAGGGAGACTGACCGAGAGAGACCAATTCAGCCCGACTGACATTGTTCATCTTCACCTCCTTTTCACTACCAAAAGTTGTTTTGTTTGTATTTTTTCTGTTATAGATGCCCTGACTGAACCAATGGGGACAGAAGTCTTTGGCTTTGCCCAGGCAGCACAAAAATGGCTTCCAATGCTCCAGACCTGATGGGTGGACAGAACAGGAGTAGTGAAGAATTTTTGTTTTTTATTTTTTAACTGATTAAATTGTCTGTCATTTATTCATTTTTAATATATTATAGTCTATTTTCTGTGGTTTAATGTTGGTTGAAATAACATTGAAGTCATGTTGATTTTTAGTTATGACGTTTCAGTATTAAAAAAAACGGGTGCAAAATGTTGATTCAACATCAGAGTCTGATGATTCGATTAAATTAGCGTTGAGAGCAGAATGCTGATTCAACACAGTTTCAATAATGTTTGCTATCTGGGCTGTCACCTAGGTTACTGCTGACCACTACTGAGAGCAGGAACGAGCAGCGAGAGCAGTGGGCGATGGACTGGAAACTGGGATTTTAAAGACCAACTACTGAGGACTGGACGGATTAAGGCTTGCCCAGTGACTTTTACAGGTTTTATTATAAACTCCTACTATTTTTAGGTCTTTTTATAAAGGGACTTTTTTGGTTCATTGTTTTATTTTTTTAATAAAGGCATTGGTTTTATAAACTTGTCTACTTGTCTGAGCCTCGTCGTGTTTTGTTGCAGAACCTTACCTAAATTAAGTTTAAATTTTTTATTTTTTTTTAACTAGCCGCCCGCGAACGAGTCGGTCACAGATGCATCAGATTATTGTGTTGCCTATGCAATGGGATACATCTTACAGTGAAGTTTAATAAATAACCACAGTAAACAGATTCTGTAGAAAATAAGATGTAAGCTCTGTGGTGTGTCCACTCAATATTTACATCTATTTCCTTTAATACCAATAAAACAATACGTGAAATAAGTGATTAGTTTACTCTGACAGGAGAGACGATCAGAGGGGCAGAGTTTTTACCACAATCATTCAGACCTGGGTTGAAGAATGGGAAGAGTTTCTTAGTGAAGTGGCAGCCAGTAAAGGAGTAGATCAGAGCTGCAGCATCTGCATCATAAAAAGAGACCAGACCCTCCTCATAATCCACATAAACCCCCACCTTCTGAGGCCGAGACTTCAGAGACAGAAGGACTGAAGGTCCAGCAAGAGCTCTGTACTCGTTTCCATTTTTCAACCATAAACTCCAGTAACCCCTCTGATGGCTTAGTTTGATTTTTCTTTTGATCGACTCTCTGGCCACTCCTAACTTCCAGCCAGTCTTGTCTTTAACCTGAACCTCAAAGTAAAATCTGCCTGAAGAGAAACTCTGCTTAGTTAAAACACAAGTTTTAACAGAAAATCTCTCTGGATTGTCTGGGAGAACCTTCCACACGTCACCATGATACACTTGTTTCCCATCAACAGACAGGATGAGTTTCGGATGTGCTGTATTAGGATCAAGAGTCACGTCCACTGCAAACCGCTGGACCCTCGTCAGCTCAAGCAGCTTCTTGATCTCTTTACTGAGTTTCTCCTCCAGCTGAGCCGCAGCTCTCACCACAGTCCCCTCATATGATGGTGGACAGACGCTGACCTCTGTCCAGTCCTTGGTGGGTGGATGGTGGATGTTCAGGGACTGGACACTCTGGAGAAGATGGAGGTGGTCTTCAGAGCGTGAGAGCTGCTCCACCTCAGTCCTTCTCTTCATCAGCTCAGAGATTTCCTGTTCCAGCTCTGTGATGAAGCCTTCAGCCTGTTTCTCTGCTGTTCTCTGCTTCTCTTCGATGGTGTCGATGAGCTCCTTCAGGCCTCTCTCAACAGACTCCTTCAGAGAAGTGAAGATCTGAACACCTTCTGCTTTCTCTCTGCCTGCCTCTTTCTCACTGAGGCCAACCGACTGTTTGATCTCCAGAATCTTCTGTCCTCTCTGCTGGATCATCTGCTGAATTTCAGCCTCTGTCTTCCCCAGCTCGGCCTTCTTTCCTTCATATCCTTCCTTCATTGGAACAACATCGTGCATCTTGTGGTCTAAAACAGTGCAGAGCATGCAGACACACGTCTGGTCGGTCTTACAGAACAGCTCCAGAGGTTTATCGTGCTTCGTACACATCCTGTCTTCCAGGTTCTCCACAGGGTCGATCAGCTGATGTCTTTTCAGGCCTGAAGCTGTCAGATGAGGCTCCAGGTGAGTCTCACAGTAGGAGACCAGACACACCAGGCAGGACTTCAGGGCCTTCAGTCTGGTTCCAGTGCAGACGTCACAGGGAACTTCTCCTGGTTTGGCAGCTTGTGTCTCTGAGCTCCTGCTGCTGGCTTCCTGCTGAGCTGACTTGAACTGAGCAGCTATCTCAGAGAACAAAGTGTTGACGTGCAGCTCAGGTCTTGTGTTGAAAACCATTTTACACATTGGACACAGGCACTGGTCTTTAGTATCCCAGTGCACATTGATGCAGGTTTTACAGAAGTTGTGTCCACATGATGTGCTGACAGGATCAGTGAACACATCCAGACAGATGGAGCACAGGAACTGATCTTCAGATCGCAGATAGTTCACAGCAGCCATATCTACACATGTAGAGAGACATAAAGGAACCATTTAATCCAATATACAGTTTTAATTCTTAGTTTAAGGAGAAAGAAGTGTGATTACAGTCATTTTAAGTGCAGCATAAAATATTAAAGCCATTTTAAATTTTATTTGGGCTTTGTGGGGATATTTCACCAAACTGAGCTGTGAGCAGCTGCAACCATTCAAGCCGTGCTGTTAAGCTCAAGCTGTCTACGATAACAGAATATCACAGAAAATGTACATTTCATGTCGTGTAGATCAATTTATATATATATATATATATATATATTGAAGAATCGCACTGCTTAGAAAACTCTGCTTACATGATGGCACGCACGTTACATTTCCTCTAGCTGTTTCACATTAAAAGCCTCCTGCTGGTTCGCAGGTGGAAAGCTTTTATTGTGAAACAGCCAGAGGAATTCAAATGCACAATGACTGCAAGAAGCGATCAATAAACAGTAATAATATCAGGAAACAGGAGTGAAACTCAGCTCGGACACAGAGGCAGTTTAAAGCAGTCAGTGGGCTGCTGTATAGTGGATCTGTGGACAAACAGCCAGAGTTAGATTTTAAGTATGAAATGAAAAGAGTGGAACTTCCTGCCTGAGCAGAGCTGCAGGTTTGTGTTCATGCTGGTTGTTGAATCTGTAAATGTGATCAGCTGTACTCACCCGTGTTTGGCAGAGACTCCGCTGGGTTGTTGAGAAAGACCTGATGAACTCAGATTCTGAATTTCCTTTCAGAGACAAACAGAGACTCGTCTCGACGGCTGCTGCTCTGACAAAGCAAAGTTAAGTTTCATTTCCTGACGTTGAAGCTCTCCTCTTTGCTCCCCCTCTCACTGCAGCTCTGTTGCTGGTTTTACTTCCTGAAACTGGCATATTTCTGCTGTGGGGCCCTCCTATTAACAATTTGCCACTGCTGCACAGAACACCACTCTGCTCTCACTACAGCCCTCCCGTCTTTAAACAGTCTGTCTCTGTAAGAAGCCTGAATGCTCTTCTAGAACAGTCCAGTGCTGGTTTGAACAGATCTCTGCCCACTAATCAGTCTTCATGAAGTCTGATAAGTGGTGGTGAAGCAGCAACTGTTCCATTAGAGCTGCTTGTACATCTCCGGTCTAAAGACTGGTTCTGTGCTAGTCCTGGCTGACGATCCAGCATCTACTCTACTGATAAACAAACAAGTAATTTATAGATAACAATACTTGCTAGATGTTAGTGTCACCACCTCAATTCAAACTGCCTCCTACAGGTCTTTGTAAATCTGCTGATTCAGCATTACTCACCAACCCAGGTGCCAACAGCAAGAAGTAAGGAAAACTTCTGTACATACATCGCCCTGAAGGCCAATTAATAGTTCTGCATCAAATCTATGACAAAACATTCTCACACTCAATTTGTCACGTATGTACGCATGATCAGCTGTCAGTTTGTAACGCACTGTTTGAAGCCCTGTAGTGTCACTTTTGAACACTAGGGGTAGGTACAGGACATTTAACAGAAAAGTCTGAGTAAGGAGGTGGCTGGTGTGGATAATGGGTCAGAAACTGGACTTTCACCCAGGAGACTGGTGGTCGTTTCCCATGTGAAACAAAAAGTCAACATTAAATGTTTTTATTGAAGTTAAGATAATATTAATGACTCATTATCCAAAGCTATTTATAACTGCTATACTATATGTCAGAGGTCACACACCCCTGCCACAATGGGATGATGGCGCAGTGGATAAGACACACGCCTTTGGAGTGAGATGAGCCACGTTCAAATCCATTGTGAGACACCATTGTGTCCCTGAGCAAGACACTTTACCCCTAGTTGCTCCAGAGGCGTGCGACCTCTGATATCAATTTGTGAGTCGCTTTGGATAAAAGTGTCAGCTAAATGAATAAATGTAAATTTCACAACATTTAGAATTTCTTTTATTTGAAAGTGTAACCGGACGTTACTACTACACTAAAGGGTGCCTCCCCAGGGTGTTAAAAACCTGTGCCTACGGGTCTTGACAAAGCGTCCATATGTGACGTTTGGAAGAGAGAATGTGTTGCGGCAACGCAGCCCACAACAACTGTGGTCAACTGGTCAGCGTGGTAGCATTGCATCCATTTGCATTCATGTTGTTCTTCAAAGACAAAACAGAACAACAGCAACAACTACTAACAAACTTGCAGTCAGTCCAACATGCTTGTTTCTTTCATCAAGGTTTCCGTGGTCCTTGTTTCCTTGATCCTTGTTTCCTTGGTCCTTGTTTCCTTGATCCTTGTTTCTTTGGTCCTTGGTTCCTTTGTCCTTGTTTCCTTGGTCCATGTTTCCTTGGTCCATGTTTCCTTGGTCCTTGTTTCCTTGGTCCTTGTTTCCTTTGTACTTGTTTCCTTTGTACTTGTTTCCTTGGTCCGTGTTTCCTTTGTACTTGTTTCCTTGCTCCTTGTTTCCTCCAGCTGAGATGTTTCCAGCTGTGAGAGAGCAGAAACAGGTGTAGAATCTATTTCCTCTTCAAAATCCTGTCAGACATGATCTACTGCACTTCGGTCACATGACTTAAATCGCAACAATAACTTCTAACAACCTCAAACACGTTCTGCATCTGATTCTCTACAAACTCACCTGAGCCTGAAACCGTCAGCCTGATGATGCCGATGAGTTCAGGTTTGTTTTTCTTCCCAACCCGACACTCGTATGTTCCAGAGTCGTTGACGGTGACGTTCTTCAGAACAACAGAAGCGTCTCCGTCCTTCATGTCTGGATCTCTCAGCTCCACTCGACCCACGTAAGAAGGATGCTGGTAGTTCATGTGGAGACCGTCTCTGAGGAAGAAGACGTAGCCATCAGCCTTCAGGTCCGGTCTGCTCCACGCTATCAGTGAGATGGGACCACCTGTGGGAGCCTTACAGAGAAGAGAGACGTCCTGTCCAGGTTTCACTGTCACCTCCTGTGGGTCTGAACACAAACAGAGAAAACCAAGAATCCCAAGTTTAACTGCTGAAGAAGAAGTCTGGACATGTTCTACAATGGTTGTTAAGGGAACTGGATGAGTCGGACTCTCTGAGTTCTTCTATGTTTTTGTAGCGACCTGTGATGAGGACATCAATATTTTAATACTCTGTTTCTCCGTTAGTCTCACGCGATCGACGGCTAACTTTACACCCACAATGCATTCTGAACTTACATCATCGGCTCATCACAATCTAAGTTGGTGTGTTTGCCAAATGGCCCTACACAGCCATGCCTGCCATTTCATCACTTTGCCCACTATATGGGTTTTTAGTCCTCAGGCTCTGGGATGGAGTGTCAGACACTTTACAGAATGTGATGCTTTTGAGTGAAGTTTGTGATATCAGGCTGTATAAAAAGATTACTGAACGTTACATCGCATCACAACGCCTGCACATGGCAACTGGTCGGAGCTAGTTCAAGACCTTTATTTGTCCCCGAGGGGCAATTAGTTTTACTGCAGTAGCAAAGAAGTTGACACACAGAACATAGCAACAAAGACGACAACATTGATTAAAAATACAGGGTCAGACCAATGGGTAAATAAATACCACAACATTAATAGTTTAAGTTCAAGTGAGCCTTCTGTGCAGACGTTACCTATTCTTTACAGAGTTAAGCAGAGAGATGGCCGAGGGTACGAAGGAGAATTTATACTGATATGTTTTGGCTGGTGGTTGACTGAAGCGGGAACCAGAAGGCAGCATCTTAAATTCTGCATGCAAGGGGTGAGAACTATCAGACATGATGGATTCTGCCTTTTTAAGCACGTCTATTGTTCAGTTCAGTTAGTTTTATCTGCTGAATCCCAGTGATTTTGCTGCTAACTTTATTTACCATTGCTAATGTGTTTTTCCGTTTTAAACTAAGACAAGCGTACCAGCAAATACATGAAAAAGTAAAGTAGGACTCAATAAAAGATTTATAAAACCTGAAAAGACCTTGCAGGTCTATTTCAAGTACTGTTTAATAACGATGGTTCATCAGTGGTGATACATGATTCGAACATGCACAGCACCGGTGGGGCTGGAGCTCCATCTCTCTGCCACTAGGCCACACACGCCTACACACTACGCCTACACATGACCCCACTTCTTTAAGGGTAATTTTGGATTTATTCAACCATTTATTAAAAGCCTTTTTCTTTTCACATTTTTATTTACAGCATTATATGGTTAATTGTATGTTGCAACAGGCTGTATATTAACTTTCTGGGAGAAAATCTGTAGTTCTATGTAAAATCAGACGCACTCCAATATCACCAAAATGGAATGAACGTTGTTTTGCTGTTAGGGTCAGCCCTACTACACACACACATACACACACGGTAGTAAAAGATAAACAAACCGACACACACACACACACTCAGAGCTCACCTCCACAGGCTGCAACCAGAAACAATATAATCCCCACAACTCTGAAAACTGAAGCTGCCATGAGAGCTGCTGCTGATGCTGGAGCCGGCGTTCCTCACTGACTGCTGCTTCCTGCACTCCTGTCCCTGGAGGGGGGTGAATTCCTTGTGCTGCATTTAAGCACTGTATGACATTCGACTACCATCTGAAAATCAGGCTCCAACAACAGGGAATGTAAATGTGAAGAGATTTTTATCACCTTAGAATGAGGATTTATGTGAGGATTTTCAGTCAGGATTTAGAGTGCATCATAGCACAGAGACATTACTGGTGAAAATAACTAATGACCTCCAAATTGCATCAGACAAAGGACTTAGCGCTGCATTTGATGCAATTGACCATCATATCCTATTACAGAGACTGGAACATTTAATTGCCATTAAGGGAACCACTCTAAGCTGGTTTAAGTCCTATTTATAATATATATAATATCCTTTAACTCTCACATTAAGCAAACTTCAAAATTGTAGAATTCAGTAGGAAAACCTGTAATTATAACCCTTTTATTCTGCCTTTATAAGAGGGCTTAACGGAGTTCAGCCATTGAAACAGGTAAATCCAGAGCCCTGATCTGTTCATCCTCTAACCTTGGCAACCTTAGAAATACATTGATGTTTTCGATTAGGAGTCAGATTCCTTGCTGAGTCCTTTAAGGAGGAAATAGTTATTTTGTCTTTATTCAATTTTAATTGGTTGGCTAAGAATCTGCTGGATTTACCGTTCCTTCTGGTTGAAGTGTTTAGTCTTCATGACGATGGGCCTGGGCCTCTGGTATCCAGAAGAAGACACTTTTATCCAAAGCGACTTACAACTGTCAGACCTCTTACATGTCAGAGGTCGCACGCCTCTGGAGCAACGAGGGGTTAAGTGTCTTGCTCAGGGACACATTGGTGGATGTCTCACAGTGGGATTCAAACCCAGGTCTCCCACACCAAAGGCAAGCATCTTATCTATGCACCAACACCACCACTTTTTGTGCTGTGTCAGCCACCGTAGCTGTCCTGCGCTCTTTGAAAGGTTAGGGGCAGTGGTAGACTGGATAGATGGTTTCAATTCACAAACGTCACAAACTGGATGCCATTAAATCCTACACACTGAACTTTTAACAGAGGAGGGGGTCTACGGCATCACTTATCCCCCGACTTACAATGCTGTCCTTTCACTACCTCTCAGGAAACTTACCAAATGATCACTTCAGATGAGGATAACAACAATGGTCGGTCAGACAAACCATAACGACTGTCATTAGAACAGCCAGGAGCGCTAACGAACCAGCGGTATTGAACATCTTGGCAGACGACCCCACAGAGGTCAAATAGTAGAGTTTCCCTATACCAATTATTTATGAAGAAGGGGCAAAAACCTCTCCTGGTATCTTCAACCATGTCCAGCTGCCCTTGATTTGAACCTTTTTTGGATGACTGAGAACCTTCACACACATTTCAGCCACAAACCTTCATGGATCAAAACGTGTTTACAATCAATCACTTAATCAACATTACATTACTTGAGTATTTCCATTTTGTGGTACTTTATACTTCTACTACATCTCAGAGGCAAATGTACTTTTTACTGAACTACTTTTACTTTTTAGTTTCAAATTGTATATGAACACATATTTAGCAACAAAGAGAGGAAAAACACTAACGGTGTATTGATGACTGCAGTTACATGTATGCGGAAACCCAGCAGCATATTGTTGTCAGTTTTAACATAACATCCAACATGTAACAGATTAAACAGTCGCAGTTAAAACTGATTTCTTTACAGTATGTGAGTAAAATTCTAATTCTCATTTCTTGTAAAGGCCCCAAAGCAGTCTAAAGTTGCTATTTAATCCTGTAATAGGCACTTTTGCATTGTTATTAATGTACATTTATTTGTTATGTTTATTATAATATAATACAATTCATCACATCTTTGGATGTAGAAAAGTAGAATCAATATACTAGAAGGTTACAGAAATCCAGCATGCAATCTGACTCTACTGCTGCATGATGTCCACATACTTACAAAAACTAAATTATAATCAAATTTTTAATCTATAAAACATAAAAAACTATTTTTTTTGATTGACCTCCTTGAATAACTTGAAAGAGCCCAACCCTTTCCTTCGAATGTAAATGCAGCAGGCTTTTACTTTTTCAGTTTGGCACGTATCAGTTTCACCAGAACAAAGATTTCAGGATTCACAGTTACACTTTTACTGTTTGTACACGTGTGCACTGTGATACAGAAAAGAGAAAGACAAGATGTCTGACAGCACTGCAGAAAGAATGACACGCTAGAAATGTAAACAAGGAAAACATCTCTAGGCCGGCGTTCCTCTCTGTTGGGTCACAGATTCTTATCCACATCCCATCAGATGTCATCAATCTTACCAGAAAGTACTAATTACCACAAAGACGTGGTAAGTGGTACTTTATAAATCTGCAGATTTGGCGGTACTCATCAACACAGGCACTAACAAAAAAGGAAGTAAGGCAAACTACATACGTCCTTATTTTAGACCTGGGGTATGAACTACTGGGTACACTTGTGTTTTTACTTTGGAGCACGCAGAAGTCCAGGAGAAACAGTCAGAAACATCTGCAGGCCTGTAGAGTGGGGATCACCTCTGGTCTGGTTTTGTCCACTTCCTGTTTGTCTCTTTACTTCCGGTCACTATTGCTGGCTGTGGGAACAGCGGCTGTCCTGATTGGTTCACACCCTGAAGGCCAATTTATAGTTCTGCATCAGATTTATGGAGTAGGTATGCTATAGCGTACACTGTCAACACAATCTGCACTCCCATGTCGTCACATGCGTATGCACGGTCAAGACCCGTCAGTTTCTAACACACCTGGTCTTAAATTGGGAATATTTTGTGGCTTCTTTGCTTCTCTATTTGACACTCCCAGTTATTTTTGGGCTGGAGATCTGAGGACATAATTGTGAGCTTTGGAAAACAAGCATCAACGTCTTACTTTTTACTGAACTACATTACCGTTTCAAATTGACATTGAAATTAAACCAGTGGTTTCCAAACCATTTGGTTCGTGTCTGTTGTTGTGTTTCAGACGTAGAAACTCAAATGTTTTAAATAACTGTTGAAATGATCCAGTAGCTCTCGTTCTTCTGTCCTCTCCCATTAATCACCCCAGAACTATGATTTATCTTGGGACCCTTTGGAGTGGCCCGACTAGGGGCCAACCGTCACGTAAGGTACGGACTAAAGAAAATCTGTAACTAAGAGGGCTTTCACACCTACCTCTCATTTGGTCCAGACTCTCAGACTTTTTAGTTATTTCCAAAATCAATGAAACCTCCCCCGGACCACTGTCCCGACCAAATAGACCAAAGTTGGTCCAATGAAAAGAGGTAGTATCGGTCCGGATCCGTGGTTCAGTTTGTTTCTACTGTGAAAGCATTTTTTGATGGTCCGGACTTTCAGACTATTTACAGAAGTTTGGCGTTTTCCACGTAAACTGGAAATAAACAAATGCACTGGAATGAGGACATTTATAAATCTCCAGAATCCAAGATGACATGTAGTTTAGACAGCATCCTCCTCTCTGACACCACCAACACAGAGTCCAGCTCCAACCCCACAATGTCACTGGCCTTGCGGATCAGTTTGTTGATTCTGTTACGTGTCCGCTACCCTCAGACTGCAGACGGACACAATGGAAGCAATCCGGTCTCTCCTCAAATGAGGACTTTCAGGTGTGAAAGCCCCCTAAAATAATCAAAGCAGACAAAACTCCTGATAAGTTTAACAGCATTAGAGCACATTTATTATACACATGTACACTGTAAATACATGTATAAATATACACATGTACACTGTAAATACATGTATAAATATACACATGCACAAATACATTCTACATATTCACAGCCACGTGAATCTTCACCTTTAAACAACAGCGCTCCTCCCTGAGCTTTCGGTCGTCTGAATTGCTCTTCGTCTGACTCGTCACCTGGGACCAAGCTGTCGTGGGAAACCCTACGAGGAGCTGAGAGCTCCGGACAGAACAGCTCCCAGGATCATGTGAGCACACAAACCCCTCCACCACGATAAGGTGGCAACTCACGGAGGGGATACATACATACATACATATATCTGTAATATATCATCTTTAGATATTACACACATGTATAAATGATACATTATTATTATTATTTTAAAGTCAAACATTCAAGATATAAATGACATTTAATACAGCAACATAATCCAAATAAACTAAGTAACACAAAGGAAAGTCAGTCAATCAGCACATTGAACAAAGACGCTTTTCTTTTCAAACTAAGAGACAAACTGTCCAGTTTCTACATAAAAGGCAAAAATTAATATCCCAGCAGCATATTCATGTTACCCTAAATGTTCACAGTTTAGGTTTATCATCAGCACAGCTCTTTACTCTGGGCAACACATACTGAGCTTTTTAAAGTGCAAACTCCCAAAGTTTTCCACCTGTTGACCTTCACTTGATGAAATGAGACCTCGTGCTCCACACACAACACGATCATTAGGCAATATATCTCTCTGTATATTTATATAGATATATTAACAAAATGTTTCTTTAACATATTGTTTTCCAGTCCAGTGGTTGTCAAACGTTTTCAGGTCATGAATCCCCACTTGATAATAGTTTGTCCCTGGGCTGTCTGATAAGATTTTCGCTTTTGGATGTTTTATTAGAAAAAGTGACCAAAAACAATCTAACATTCTGTCATTGTGTTACTTATGGGTAGAATTATGGTGAAAATAAATTATTCTCCTTTTAGCTGTGGACCACTGAGCTCCCTCAAGGACCCCTGGGGGTCCACAAACCCCACTTTGAGAACCACTGCTTTAGGCCACTACTGCCCAAAATACACTGTCTATTGTCCTGATTCTCATTTTGATTCATCAGAGTCTTGATGACTATCTGACCTGGTCACTGGATGGATTGAAATGGATTGTCCTTCTTTTTGTTCTTGAAAAGAACAAAAATGTAAAGGGCGGCTGTGGCTCAGTTGGTAGAGCGGGTTGGCCATTAATCAGAAGGTCAGTGGTTCAATCCCTGGCTCCCCATGGTTGCGTGTCGAAGTGTCCTTGGGCAAGATACTGAACCCCGATTTGCCCCTGGCGGCTGTTCCGCCAGTGTATGAATGTGTGTGAATGCTAGTTTCTGTTTGAGCACTTAGGCTCAGTGTATGAGATGTAGTGATAGGTGAATGCAGATGTAGTGTAAAAGCGCTTTGGGTGGAGACTAGAAAGGCGCTATACAAGTCCGGGGCATTTATATTTACATAAGACGGCGGCAACAACAACAGCAACAATCCCAAATAATAAAAAACTTGCTATCAGTCCAAAATGCATGTTCCATCCTGCCCAGATGATTCCAGCTGTGAGAGAGCAGAAACAGGTGTTTACATGACTTAAGTCGCAACAACAACTTCTGTATAAAACAAAAACACGTTCTGCATCTGATTCTCTACAAACTCACCTGAGCCTGAAACCGTCAGCCTGGTGATGCTGCTGGGTTCAGATGCATCTGGGTGTTTTTCCTCTCCAACCCGACACTCGTATGTTCCAGAGTCGTTGACGGTGACGTTCTTCAGAACAACAGAAGCGTCTCCGTCCTTCATGTCTGGATCTCTCAGCTTCACTCGACCCACGTAAGAAGGATGCTGGTAGTTCATGTGGAGACCGTCTCTGAGGAAGAAGACGTAGCCATCAGCCTTCAGGTCCGGTCTGCTCCACGCTATCAGTGAGATGGGACCACCTGTGGGAGCCTTACAGAGAAGAGAGACGTCCTGTCCAGGTTTCACTGTCACCTCCTGTGGGTCTGAACACAAACAGAGAAAACAAAGTTTAACTGCTGAAGAGGCCGTTTGTGTCGTGATTGGGCCTTGCCACCACCTCTGTCCCCTTGTTTCCACAGCTTCCCTCCCTGCTGTCTCTGTTTTTTGTCTGTGTATGACTGCTGTGAGTGGTTGTGGGCGTGTTGCTGTGGCTCCCTCTCTCCTGTCCTCCGTGCTCAGCAGTCTGCCCGCTTCCCACATCCAGTCCACTTCTTCTTCTACTCTAATGAAATCTGCCTAGGTTAACTGCCTCTGCCTTGTGTCCTCTCCTGAGTCATACCTAACAGTTTGGACACGTTCAACACCGTATTTGTGGTGACCTTCGCAGACTAAACTCTCAGGAAGTCTGTTTGCATCTACATTACCTTATTTAATGACACTGTCATCCAAAATTGCTATGTTTGTCAGAGGTTAAATGTCTCAGGGAAAGATTGGTGGTTATGACGAAGTGGGAACTGAAACAATGTCTCTCATGCCAATGGCATGTGTCTCTTTCCACTGCTCCATCGCCACCCTATTTGCACTTTTCTTTTACTTCATCTTCATCAAGAGGACAATATTCATGAATGAATATTACTTTTTTAAATCTAAATATGAACTAGATCGTTTTAAAATGTTTGCTCAGGCTCTGATCTGCATGTCACTGTCTCACTGCGTCTTTATTCCTTTATGGTTTTTGGTTTGGGAATGTAATATTTTCCTGTTTTATTCTGTCATTCTTCATGTGTTTCTCTTTTTTACTCGTCCCTTGTCCTTGGTTTTGTATGTTTTGTCTGTAATTCATTTTTAATGGAAATTAAACCTTTAGTGAGAATTCAAGCCAGAATGCAAATGTAAGACCAAGAGCCAGTGAAGAAACAGGGGACCTTATACTATTGTTATTATGCATCTGTCTGAGGAAGAGAGTAGGAACCAGCTGTCCTGAGATGAAGGCCTATCAAGAATAGTCAGATAAGAAACTCTCTAACAAGCTACTTTCCCAGGGGAACCTTCACCCAGCTGCAACATAATTAAAGTATCAAATAACACAAAGTGAAACAAAAGCCTATAATAATACAGCATAAAAGGTAAAACAGTAAACACATAAAATTTCCATTACAAATCAGTTTGGTATTATCTGTTTTACTTTGGTAAATCCATCCTTATGTTTTACTTCTTGTGCTATTTTGTAGAGTTCACTGCCTGTGTCCAGCTTTGTGTCCAGTCAGCCCTGATTCCCCATGTGTCACACCTGACGTTGATTCCCCGGGCTGTGTGTGTGTGTGGTGCTTTAGTCCCTTCAGTTCTCATCAGTCCTCGTGGTGTGGTCATCGTTTGTTGTCTGCTACCTGCAGCCCTGCCTGTATGTCCTCTCCTCTGTTTGGATTATTGATGAATGGATTTGGTTTTTGGACTTTACGTTACCTGTGAATTTTCTATTCCTGTTTGGTTACCCGCTTTTGTGGTAAATTTTTGTTTTAGATAATTTAGACTGCAACTGTAAATTATACACCTCGAGTTAATCTAATTAAACTTCCTCATGAACGTATTCATTTATTTCCTTCTGGGTCCTACAACCTGTTTTTCCTGCCTGAGGACTCAATCTTTCAAATGCATACATTGCATCATTGCAACACCCGGACTTGGCAAGAGAGTAAAATCCTAAAGTCACCGCTGCAAGAACTGAACCGTAAATAGATGACGGCAAAAACTAAACCAGCAAAAGAGGCGAAGCATTAACGCCCAGATAAAAATACAGACACATAAACACATTTCATCAGGAATCAAAGATTTCTGAACAGTCAATAATGTTAATGCAGATCAGACTTTGTCACAGCTGGAAAGTTTTAAAGGATAATGAAACAGACACACAGAGCTCACCTCCACAGGCAGAAACCAGCAACAAGATAATCCACACAACTCTGAAAACTGAAGCTGCCATGAGCTGCTGCTGCTGCTGCTGCTGGAGCCGGAGATCCTGTACTGCTTCCTGATCTCTCTTATTACTATGATTTCAGAACAGAGGGAGGGAGGTCACATGATTTACTGTGTTGCATTTAAAAATGAGTAAGAGATTCAGAGAGAGTGAACGAGGGCAAGAGTGGGAACAGTGAGAAGCAGCCAACTGAGACATGGAAAGAGTTGGCAAAGGTCAAAAGGTCTCTGTTTGTCTGCAGGCCAAAACTCTTAAGAAAACCGACAAAGGTGATTTTGTGCTAAGGACAGGAAGTATCAGCTTCAAACCGCAGTCCTCTACACTGATTACTCAATAAACTGGAACTCTGGCCTCGTGTTTCAGAGCAGCTTGGCAGACATGCAGCCTAAAGTATGTGCAGGTTAAAGTTTAACAGCAGTTTCAGATTTAGTTTTTTACAGGTTTTGGTCTCTCTCCTGACATTTAAGATGTTTAGATTTACTTAAAAATGTTTGCACAAATGTCACTAAGGATGCACGTATACAATGTTATTACGGCCCTGTGTATTAGTAGCTGTCTTTGCTCTGAGTGAATCTGTACAGGTTGCTGTATGCTAATGAGCTGTAGGATTGCCTGCCAAGGATTGGACCAAATGACGTCGACTCCTCCTGCTGTCTGGCTGGGCTCGGTGACAATTGGTCAAGGCTGCTCTCTTTGTGTTTTGGTTTTGAATTTGTTTGTTGTTTTTACTACCTTGCCTCAGTTAAGCTGCGATCTCTCTCAGTAGAGATTTCCTTTTGGTTAAATTGTTTTCATTGGGTTAAGCAGCATCCCTTTTTCTGTTACAGTTTACTGCGCATCACTCTTACCCTACAGATAAATAACTTTTCTTTACCAAATCTATCTGGTTTATGTTATCTTCCTTGCCCACACGAACAAATGTAACAAATAACAAATGTACACCCTCACCTTAAATTACAACAACAGTTTGATAAGCAAAAACAGCACTCAAATGTTCAGCACTCAAAGGTAGTTTGTATTTCATCAAATCACAACAAACCAAGCCTCCAAATAACACGATGCAATGAACTCAAAATGCACTTCAAGCCATAGTTCAGTCCAGTGAACTAATGTAGCAAGAGGACAATAGGGAAAGCAGAGCCAGTGGCGATTGAATATTGACAAGATATTTCTGCGGCGTTTACATGGTTTGAATTTGGTTGTGGGTCCATGGGGCTTTATAGAATGATGATAGAGAAAGATCAAGAGGTGAATTTGTGCATTAAACTTTGACAATTAAGCAAACAAGTTGCCCCTTCTTGTTTGAGGACTGCACAGTTTTTTTAATCGCCCACTAGAGGGCTGCAGTGCTGCAATAACCAGTCCAGTTGAAATGAATGAAATGATTCAAAAAAAGATTAGTTCATTTTAATGAATGAGATTCAGAGATCCAAGTCAGCAAAATGAGTAATTACCAATCACTGCAGTTTGCACCCCGTAAAACACAATGAACTGCCCTGGTATATGAATTGCGCTATACAAATAAAGGTGCTTCTCTTGATCAGTCGTCACACTTAACGTTTGCCCAAAGGTGTCAGCACACTTCACTTCCTGTGTGACATGGTGCACTTCAGTCTTCAGAAAGATGTCTTCAGGCTCATCAGGCTGGTTCTTTGAAAGTCTTCTTCCCTTTATCTTTAGTTCTACAGGTGAGTTCATCTGTGTTTGTTGTGGCTGTGTTCAACCCATACTGGCTCACCATCGTCCCACCTCTTAACTGCTGGAGAACGAAACCTCAACACCGTCACACCCACCTGTAAAGAGGAAGAGGGAGGAGGAGGAGGAAGCAGGTCTGGTTTCTGGGTCTGGTCTCATGTCAGCAGCCAGAACGATGGAGGACACATCTTTCCAGTGGCTGCTCTGTAAGTAAAACAGTTAATATAGTACAGTACTAAAACATCAATGATTTTCACATGCTGTAAAGATATGAAATTCGGTGTTAAACAGTTTTACTGTAAAGCCCTTCATTTAATGTCTGAACGTAAACTCGACGATGCTGTTTAAGGTTCAGTTCACTGCGTCCATACTGAAAGGTACCACACTGTATTACCCTGAGTCTGAGGTGAAGATGTCTTCCGTTGTAACGTGTCAACTGAGTGCTGTTTCTCCTCAGGGCTGACCACCACGCTCTGCTGCAGACCCGCTCAAGGTCAGTATGTTTACATTAAGACAAACTGTAACACAGGAGCTTATTCAAATATGATACACACTTCGTTATATCAAAATACTTGTAGTGTAACACAAAGTTAAGCCTCACTTTAATATTTATTTAACCAACAAAGCCTCACTGAGATTCAAGAGTGTGTTTCCTGGCCGATGTTTTCAGTCCTGGAAAACACATTCAGATCCTTCACTTGAAAGTAGAAATACCACGGCCTGTGAGTACAGTGCCGAATTCTAAAGTAATATTTATTGAACTTCTAAATAATAGACTAACATAAATAACAAATGTCATGCTGAGCTTTGATTCAGATTTAAAGTTAAAACTAAACTGTTTTTTCTAAACGGGTTTAATAACTGATAAGAAATAAAAGGTGCTATAGTTACATGGCAAATTTTAAACAATATTTTATATAATAAATAAATAAATATTAATAGTTTATTCGTACATACACAGAGTACGCAGCAAAACATCACAAGAGAAGTGCTCAGTGAACTGAGAGTTTGTCAGTCTGGGATGGCTGGAAACTGCAGTTTTCAGCGGATGTGAAAAATGTTCCTGTGACATTTAGTTTGGAGGAAGAGAGTCTTGTTTCAGAATGAAAACATTTTTTCTCCTTCATATTGACTTTTTTGTTTCAAAGCTGCTGACTATGGAGCTTGACTGATGTAGAATAAATACTAAATATTTTTAATGCACCACCTTTAGTAGTTTAAGGAGTTAATGTCAGGCAGAAGAAATTAATACTGTGTTTAATGTGTGTAATCACACATTCAACACAGTAAATCACAAGGGCAGAACACAAGCTCATCGTCTGCGTAGAAACTGATCTGAGGCTGATTTCTCTTCATGCTCTCTTATTTTCTGGCAGCTCATCTGACCATGACTCCCAGCAGCTCTCAGTTCTTCAGCTGGACACCTGTCACTCTGAGCTGTGAGGAGGTCGACGACTCCCCCGGATGGACGCTGAGGAGGAACACCACAACAGACAACCATACTCTATGTGGTGCATGGGGAAAGCCTGTTGGTTCTGCCTGTAACATCAGCTACATCGTCCCACGGGACAGTGGAGTCTACTGGTGTGAGTCCAGAGACGGAGTGACCAGTAACCCCATCAACATCACCGTCACTGGTAAGATCACGCTGTCGGCACACGAACAGTTTACGGTGCAGATTTACCATCAGAATTCAGTCGGTTCTGAAACTGTGTGTCTCTGATGATAGAAGCAGCATCTGGTTTCTAGCCGACAGCCACAGTATTTAGTAGAATACTAAATACTAGAAAAATAAGGACCTGTTAAAGAGGATGAAGAAATCATCCTCTTAAGAATGTTTAAAAAAAAGTTTTCTATGTTAAAGGAGTCGTGATTCTTGCTTCTGAACCGAACATTACAGACAACTTAGTACTTTTTAATTAGTACTTTGTTGTGAAGTGGCTTTTGAGTTGGCATGACAAAATGATACTGATGTCCCTTAACCCCACATGCCTCAACTTAGTTTGGGATCACCCATCCCTAGTCATTGTTGCTAAGCTGTGATTGTACCATCACACGGTTTAGCACACATGGCCACTCTAGCGACTCTGTGAGGTCTTAAGGTTTATTTGAAAACTAAAACCTCTTGTATCTCGTGTTGAGATGGACCAGTGATCCTGCAGAGTCCCGTCCACCCTGTGATGGAGGGACATGATGTCACTCTGCACTGTGAAACAAAGAACCTTTCCTCCAACCTCCCAGCTGGTTTCTATAAAGATGGCTCCCTCATCAGGACTGAGCTTACAGGTCACATGACCATCCACCATGTTTCCAAGTCTGATGAAGGCCTCTACAAGTGTAACATCAGAGGCCATGGAGAGTCTCTATCCAGCTGGATCTCTGTGACAGGTGAGGAGGTTACCTTTGATTTCAGGACTCATTTCATCCAGAGATTCACCTGCTGTAGATCCCTTACACAGAAACACAAAACACAATTTTTGGTTCTCAGGAGTGTTCAGTCCCCAAACTCTACACCGAGATTTGATAAACACCTTTAGTACATCCTGCTTTTTTAATATGGCAGTGTCTATATACAGACGTGGACAAAAAAGATGGTACCAGTAGAAAATATTGGAAATAATTTGACCAAATAAACATGTTAAACTAAGGTGTTATCTTCAAACTTGTAGAGGGTGAAAAGTCATCACTGTGCTGTCTGGTATCATGGTGTGAGCACACTGAACATAGACCACAGAAAGCTAAGAAGAGAGCTGACTCATAGATAATATATAATATGATAGACAAACATGTTCAAGGTTAAAGCTTTATGACCAACTCCAAGCAGCTTGATGTTCCTGTGACTACAGTTGCACATATTCAGAAGTTTAAGGTCCAAGGTACTGAAAGAAATTTGATGACAAATGAAGAGACTGATAATATAAATGGTAACCAAAGAGCACAGAACAACTTCCACAGACATTAGAGGTGAACTCCGAGGTCAAGGTACATCAGTGTAAGATCGCACCATCCTTCACTGTTTGGACTTAATGGAAGACAACAGAGGAGTTCGCCACTGTTGAAAGCAAATCATAAAAAACTATATTGACAAGCCACAAAGCTTCTGGGAGAATGTCCTTCCGACAGATGAGACTGGAGCTGTTTGGCAAGTCACATCAGTTCTGTGTTTGTGGACGCAAAAATGAAGCATGCAAAGAAAAGAACACCGTACCTACTGTGAAGCGGGCTGTGGCGTTGCTTTGCTGCATCTGGCACAGGGTGTCTTGAATCTGTACAGGGTACAATAAAAACTCAAGACTATCAAGGCGTTCTGGAGCAAAATGTGCAGCCCAGTGTCAGGAAGCTTGATCACGGGTCCTCCAACAGGATAATGACCCACAGCGCAGCTAAAAACACCCAAGAATGGCTAAGAGCAAAACATTGGACTATACTGAAGTGGCCTCCTATGAGCCCTGATCTAAATCCTACAGAACATCTGTGGTTAGGAGCTGAAACATGCAGTCTGGAGACGGCACCCTTTGAACCTGAAACACCTGGAGCAGTTTGCTTAAGAGAATTGGGCCAAAATACCTGTTGACAAGTGCAGAAGTCTCATTGAGAGTTACAGATGCTTGATTGCAGTGACCTCTAAAAATTAAGTTCAGGGAATCATCATTTTTGTCCGGGCCAGTTTCATTAGTTTTTTTTTATTATTCTGTTGAACCACAGTTTAAAAGCAATGTCTGATTTTCACCAATTGTTACTGAAGGGTACCAACAATTTTGTCCACATCTGTACATCTCGCCACCTTTGAACCACCCACCAAATGAGAGAAAACGTACCTTGAAGCCCGTTGAGCACCGGTTCGAGGAAACATGTTGTTCAACCCAGAACCCCTTAGCAAACTGAATTTGGTGTGTAGCTTCCCGAACCATCGACCCACCAGGTGTGCCTCTC